TTTCTTGGATGTTGAAATCTTAAGTTGCCCGTAGACTGATTCAATTGTGGATCAGAAGATTGTAATATTTGAATTTTTCACGCGATGTTGTTTTCACCGAGGGAACTAGGAATTCCATGGCTGAGAATGTTTTTAGATTTTGTCACTTGAGGTATAAGTTATCAACATTAGGGTTTGCGAATGGGCAAGAACTCCTTCCATCAATCTGACATCTCGCTCCGGTTCATCCTGTGATCAATCGTACATCAGGTGGTCCAAAGTTCTTTCTGAGTTGTCAATTACAGAGAGTTTAAAGCAAAAATTGGGGCAGTGTCTGGTCAGTTAACAAGGGATATCAGAAGTGCAAAGCTTGCTTCTATGATTTAATATGCTGGTTTTCTCAACTAGATTGAGTGAAGTTGCAACTGTGTATCGAACCAGAGACTACGCTTTTGTATCAGGTACAACTATCGGTGAAAAAGTCCTTTTGCTTCAACTGATTAGCATTTGAGAAATAAATCAGATTTCGTGATATGCAATGTCTAATAATAAGGAAGTTTAAGTGATTATCTGTTTGTCCCTTGCTGACGGTAATTTGATATTTCTCGGATGTTGATGTTTTAAGTTGCCCGTAGACTGATTCAATCGAGGATCGAAAGACTGCGATCTTTATATTTTTCACGCAATGTCGTTTTCACCGAAGGAACTACAAAATCCACGACTCAGAATGTTTTTAGATTTCATGACTTGAGGTATAAGTTGTTGACATTAGGGTTTGCAAATGGGCAGGAAATCCTTCCATCAATTCAAAGCATTATGTAATGACCAGAATTATTTACACATATCTTTCCAACCATTTCATGATATCCGAGCATAAAATATAAGGGAGACAGAAGAACTTGGGGGGATAGAAAGCCAACATCAAACTTCTGATGATTTTTCCTAAACTTGAATGATCAAACATTATACCAAAATGGAAATTATTTAAAAAGGCACACTTTAACAAAGTATCGGTATAGGTACAAGAACATCTAGAGGAGACGCACGAATTACCTTTATGTAAATAACTGCTGAAACCCCTAAATTAAAGGCTATGTTATCCAATTGAAACTAAACTAAATCTATTATTAAGATTTAACAACCGAATCAAGGCTTTTATTTCTAACCATTTTCTGTTTTTTTTTCATAATTTTTAAATTCTTTATTATTTTAATTTAAATATGGGTCACGCTTACGCCTCATGGATCTGGGCCTAGGACACAATTGGGCTCTTATCTCAAATCTGTTCAAAACAAAATGAAGCACAATCTAATAAAATTGAATTAAGCCCAACCTCATCTAAATCAAAGCCAGCCTGGACTAACCATGACCATGCAAGTACAAATCCTCTAAAGGCAAAGAAAACCCAAATTCATCAAACCAAGTAAAAACCCAAACTCACTAAACCTGTACAAGCCCAAAGTTCTTTAAACCTAAACGAGCTCAATTTTGAAAGCAAATCAAACTGGTGAAAGTCCGGAAAATAGATTTTCGAAAAATACTTTCTCTCAAACAAACGCACCCTAATCACCAGGGGACCAAGATGAGAGAAAAAAGGTGAGGATCTTTGTGTGGTCACATCAAGTGACATGATCTTGAGGGGTGTGAGCTTAAGTAACTCAAATCTTACGGTGCTAAGTATCATGCTCTAAATGGTTAACCGGCTTCATAAGTTGAAATTTCTTTAATTTGATCTGAGGTCTCTAAATTCACTATCCCTAATTCAGATGTAGAAAAAATATTAGAAACTAATGAAATTATAATTTTTCGGTCAAAGGTCAAATTCTTCGGTTTGACCATAAAGTTAACCTTTGGCCATTTTTGCGAAAATTTGAAATTTAAAGGTCTAATTCTACATGCCTATGCTAAATTGACACTTATATGCAACTTTTACGATTTTGTAATTTTTTACCTAGAATTGACTCTTTTTTTTATGGTTTGACCAAAGAGTCACCCTAAAAAAAATGCCTAATTACTAACGGAATGCAGTGCTCTTAATTTCTATATGCAATCGAGATACTAGGGCACTTACCTAATTTATCAAGAAACAAGACGCGCCACGAAGGGGAATTTCGGATCTCGAATTTCCTAAGTTAGACCATCATGAAAATTTAGGTGAAAACAGTTGCCTTTTTTTTACGATGAAGCTCGAAGTCTGTGTAGATTTATGTCAAAGAACAAGTATTTTGCCAACAGACCCTCTTAGTATGTGTTCGTCGTCATTGTCCAGCAGTAGTGCATTAGCCCATGAGTATGCAGAAATGGGGCTTTAGAAGAAGGTGAAGACCTATCAGTGGTAACCTCCCCAGAGCTGAAAGTACGGAACTCTTAATTATTACGTCTTCTTTTTTTTCAGACTCTGAATTATTTAAACAACACCATCAGCACATTTTAGATTTGCAAAGTAGAAAGACTGGGGACTAGAAAATTTTTACCTAATGCACCAAATTATTGGATACTTCCCGCATCTGTTGGACTTGTTCTAAAAGCTACCGAACGTTCGACATTATTTCCTCCCTTTTTCTTTGAATTGATTTTCCTAAGGGTGGGGCTATTTTCACCCTATTTTAGATCCAATCACACGTCTTTATTTAAAGTGGAAAAAAAATCCTTATGCCATTAGTACTCAATCAAGTAAAAGATTTTAAGTAAATTGACGTTGGCGAGATGTAATATTTATATCAATCATAATTCTACAATATTTATTTGTTAAATGTACAACACCATTCAATCCCAAGTTATATAGTAACTTAAGCCCGTTTTCATAGATAAATATTTTCAATCGAGCTTGCATAGTTTTCACATGGACGGATTTCATTAATTTCTTGTTGTGATTGAGTGTGTATGTCAGAAACTTCTACATATAGAAGCTTATAAGAATGGCCGATGAATGAAATCAGACTGTTTGTTTTAAACAAAAAAATCAAGTTGTTTTATAGGATTGCACTTTTGTGTTCAGGATGTTCAATTGTTTTAAACAAAAAATTATTTTCCGGTAGCTTCCATCCCTACTTTGAAAGGAAAGTAAGTGAATTTGAGTAATGATATTTACTACTTGATTGAGCCTTAGTACCATAAGGGGGAAAATTACTAAAACAGTTCTAAATCTATTGTAATTGTGCCAATCCAGTCTTAAACCTTTTTTTTGTGCCAATTTAATTATAAACCTTTCGCATTTATGCCAATTCAGTTCATCCGGCCAATTTTGGCCGACCAACGCTGACGTGGACTCCGGCCAGACTGCCAATGTTGATGTGGCAATTTTTTAATATTTTTTTATTTTTTTCAAATGCTTTTATTAAAAAAAATTCTTGTCTTTCCTTTTTTTCTTTTCTTTTCTTTTTCCCTTTCTTTTTTTTCCTTTATCTTCAACCTCTGTCTAGTCGCTGGCCGGCAAGGGCGGCACCGTTGGCCGCTGTCAAGGGCAAGCCTCGCCCGCCCTGGACGAGGATCGCCCTCGCCATTTGACTCGCTAGATCTGGTGAGGCTCACTCCGCCCAACCACCAGTGAGGCCGACACCAGTGGCTTGGCGAGGGCGAGCCTCGCTAAACACCTCACCATATCTAGTGACTCGTCCTCACTGTCACTTGTGAGGTCGAGCCTCGCCAGAGTTGGTGGGGCCGACCTTGCCAATTAGAGATTGAAGATGAAGAGAATAAAAAAAAATAGAGGGAAAAAAAAGGAAAAAGGAAGGAAAATAAAAAATAAAAAAAGCGAAAAAAAATAATATTAATATTAAAAAATTTTCATGTCAGTGTCAGCCGGCCAACCAGCTTCCACATCAGCACCAGCTGGTTAAAATTGATCGGATGGACTGAATTAACACAAATGCAAAAGATTTAGGAGCTGGCACAATTACAATAGATTTAGGACTATTTTGGTAATTTTCCTATCATAAGGGTGTTTTTGTCGCTTTAAATAAAAAAAAATTTGTGGTTCCATCCAAAATTGGGTTGGAAATAGACCCACCCTTTCCTAGCGCATACACGTGAAGGTGAACATCTCTTCAATGTGACAGACTATGGACAGGCAATTTGCATGCGTGTGTAAGGATTATTCGATTCAAGTTTATGATACATATCAGTATATTGGTGAACATCTCTTCAATGTTTCTACATATATGTAATATATCAGTATCTTATGAGTGCATAATTGGTGTTTATTCATATCTAACACATTTTCCCATTTGAAGGCACAGCTGCGTTATGGGGGAGATCCCTAACCCTACCAGCTAGGTACAAAGTCTCCACATAATTCTTGTATTTTTTATTGTTTACACCAAAAGATAATTGAGTCATTGACATGAACAAGCACTCGCTTGACACGTGGATATGGACGATTGTATGAGAACACTACTGCACACGTGGCATTCTATCCACTTGATTACTCTGATTAGATTAGAGGATAAAGTTTCTACATATTGTAATTAATCCGCACTTATAGAATCCATATCAAATATTATACACCTTCCACTTTTACGACCTCCATTGAATGTAAGCCTTGCTTAGCGCGTAAAAAAATACCTTTCATAATTTTTTAGGAAATTCTTATCGACTAATGTTCCTTCTCTAGTTTCGCGTGTTCGGCTTGTATGGAAAAGATGATACTTTTTTGGAATTATACTAATGACAATCGTGGCGAAGAGATTTCTTTTTCTTTTTTTTCCCATGAACTTTTGTTTTATCTTAGGTAAAAGAAAAAGGACGATGAAGATCATGAGTCAGGTGATCTCTTTCTATAGACAAGCGACGCGAGGTTTGGCCTATACATACACGCTCCCCATTCGTGCACACCAGTTTCGTGCACCTTCTTCCCTTGCTCCTCCTCTCATTTCTTCTCCTCTCGTTTTCAATCCCTTCATATAATCACGCCCAAAAAGAGTTGGTCTCTCTCTCTCTCTCTCTCTCTCTCTCTCTCTCTCTCTCTCTCTCTCTCTCTCTCTCTCTCTCTCTCTCTCTCTCTCTCTCTCTCTCTCTCTCTCTCTCTCTCTCTCTCTGGGGAAGAAGATGGAGATGGCTGACCAGAACACCGTGGCTAAGGATGCCGTCTCCAACAATGGCGACCAGCGGAAGTTGATCAAGGACTTCGATCCTCCGGTGAAGCCGCGCCGGAACAAGTATGCCATCGCCTGCGCCATCTTGGCCTCCATGACCTCCATTTTGCTGGGATATGGTCAGACCTCTCTCTCTCTCTCTGTCAATGGAATCGATTTCTTGCAACTCAACTCTGCTTGTATGTTTAACCAAAAAATGAACTCTGATTCTACACAAAATCAGATTATATCTTAGTCATTGCAATTTATTTGTCTAGCTTTATTATCAATAAAAATAATATATCTATGGCCAAAGGTCATTTTTTTCCGATGGATAGGAAATGGAAAAAAGAAAAAACCCAAAAAAAAAAGAAAAGAAAGAGATAGAAATTTTCTCAGGAAAAGGAAGAAAATTGACCGACGACATTCTTTATTTTTTTTCATTTATGATTTTTTTTGGGTAAATATTTGGACTTTAATTGGTAAATACTCCACATAAATGGGAAGTTCGCATCTTTTGAAATAAATGGTTTTGGGATAATATCATCCACTTTTTTTCTGTTTGTTTGAACCAAGCAAGTTAATTTCAAATAAAGTCGATTGCAATTATGAGTTCTCATTATTCTCATCTTATAAATGATATATACAAGGAAAATCAATTTGAAGAAAAAGGGAGGTCTGACCAAAAAAAATGAAAAGAAAAAGGGAGGAAGAAAAGAGCACGAGAATTTTTTTTCAATTTCTTATAAATAATTTTTTAAAAAATTTGTAACAGACATAGGAGTGATGAGCGGGGCAATGATATACATAAAGGAGGACCTAAAGGTAAGCGATGTGCGCTTAGAGATCCTGACGGGGATCCTCAACGTCTACTCGCTCGTCGGGTCGGCATTGGCCGGATGGACCTCCGATTGGATCGGCCGCCGCTACACCATCGTGTTGGCGGGCGCCATCTTCTTCGCCGGAGCCCTCCTCATGGGCTTGGCCCCCAACTACCCCTTCCTCATGTTTGGCCGTTTTGTCGCCGGCATTGGTGTCGGCTATGCCCTCATGATCGCCCCAGTCTATACCGCCGAGGTCTCCCCTGCCTCCTCCCGCGGCTTCCTCACCTCCTTCCCTGAGGTACTCTCTCATTTTATTTGTTTTTTCTTTCCCTTGTTTTGTAGCATCTTTTTAATTTTTTAATTGTTTATCAAAATATGTCCTTTTCATGTTCAACGTGCACTCTTCTCGTTACTGGAAAAATTATAGTTTGAAAGGTGATTGTTATTCTATACCTCCTCATAGTAGACATAGAGGGCCTTATTTTTCTCATTTAGAAAATGTGTTGGGGTAAATAATTTTTTATTGTAACGCTGCCAACGTGTAGCCTATGGGTATGAATCAACGTCAATTTGGTGGTTCAGGTGTTCATCAACGGCGGCATCCTCCTCGGCTACATCTCCAATTATGCCTTCTCCAAGCTCCCCCTCCACCTCGGGTGGCGAGTCATGCTCGGTGTGGGAGCAATCCCCTCGGTCGTGCTCGCATTCGGGGTCCTTGCCATGCCGGAGTCCCCTCGGTGGCTCATTATGCAGGGTCGCCTGGGCGATGCAAAGCGCGTCCTTGACAAGACCTCCGACTCCAAGGACGAGGCCATGCTCCGGCTTGCTGACATCAAAGTGGCAGCTGGCATCCCTGAGGAATGCCATGACGATGTCATCAAAGTCACTGAGCAGAGCACTGGTAAGGGTGTGTGGCGCGATCTCCTTCTGCGCCCAACCCCGTCTGTTCGCCACATCTTCATCTGCGCCATAGGAATCCATTTCTTCCAACAAGCCTCTGGCATCGACGCCGTTGTCCTCTACAGCCCTCGCATCTTCAAGGAGGCCGGCATCACCTCCCACGACAAATTGCTCCTTGCGACCATCGCAGTCGGCTTCATAAAAACAACATTCATTCTCATCTCCACCTTCCTCCTCGATCGGGTTGGACGGCGGTCATTGCTGCTGACCAGCGTTGGTGGGATGATCTTCTCAGTCACCAGCCTTGCAATATGTCTCACCATCATCGATCACAGTCACAAGAATCTCACATGGGCGGTGGCCATGTGCATCGCGTCAGTGTTGTGCTACGTGGCTTTGTTCTCCATCGGTTTGGGGCCAATCACATGGGTGTATAGCTCGGAGATTTTCCCATTGAGGCTGCGTGCACAGGGGTGCGCGATCGGTGTCGGCTTGAACCGTGTGGTGAGTGGAGTGTTGTCGATGACTTTCTTATCGCTATACAAGGCAATCACCATTGGCGGGGCATTCTTCTTGTACGCGGCAATTGCGAGTGTCGCATGGGTGTTCTTCTACCTGCTGTTGCCAGAGACTCAAGGGCGGACACTGGAGGAGATGGAGCAGTTTTTCGGCAAATACACCAAATGGAGGTCCGCGGCAAAGAAGGTGGATCTTCAAAGGAACAAAGTGGTGATCAACAGCGGCGGAGGCAACAGGGAGGGGCAGTTAGAGAACTGATCACAAGACAGGGATATTTGGTAAATATGGATGCCTTTGTTAGGGTTTTTAGATTAATTATAGATAATAAGAACCGGGTGATGGTTGCTAACGTGGACAATGACGAAAAGGGTTGCTTCTTGTTTGACATTGAAAGCATAAGAAACATAAAAGAATTACTCTAATGAATTTTGAAAGAAGTAACCGAGAGAAATTCCTCAGAAAATTCAATCACCTTTGGAATGAGAAGTCTTCTCTTTTTTCCTTTGGATACCGTGGTTGCAACTTTTGATTTCACGTACAATTTTGATCTTTACTTCGAAAAATTACGAAGGCTATCGTCTGAACTTCTTCTGTCGAAATCGTATCAATCATGAATCGATGGATCCAATCCAATCGATCATGATCCAATGGAACAACATCAACTTCCGCTAATTTCATTTAATATTCATTACTAGCCTCGATATCTCATGTTTGGAACTTGGGTGGTTCTTATGTATGCAACTTGGTACCACTATCTTTCTCATTGAATTTATAAGCTATTGACTGTGTTGTGGCTTCCCTTCAATGGAAGCCTTCTTTTCTTTTTTCCATACTTAAGTGAATTCACTTATGCAATTTCAAATTTAATATTGAAACTAGGTTATTTTCAAAGGAAGGCTATGTCACACCGAACTTTAACTTCATATCCGTTCATAAACAAATGAAATTTAAAAAAATAAAGGATCAGTGAGAGATTGAGTTAGGGGGATAAGCAAACCTAGTTCTAAGAGTGCACTTGTTTTACGAAAAATTCAAGATTTAAAAAATATTTTATGAAAAATAATTTGTTATATCACTTGGAAAAATTAGAAACAAAAAATATTTTTAGCATCGATAATAATTTATGACTACCTATTTTCGTGGGTAATGAAATATTTTCATTAATTTATTTTTACAAGTGATACAAACGGTCATTTTTCGAAAATATTTTTAAATTTTTAATTTTTCGTAAAATAAACACGCTATAAATCTTAAATTTTATCAAATAGTACATCGTCATCTGAGTTGCTCCTCTGTCGTTGTTACACCCGTCAAGGAGCAGAGTACCGTCGAGGGGACACTCACGGATCGGACTGTCACTGGTCACAACTTTCAAGTGTCCGTACAAGAAAGCCTAAGTTTGACTTTAATTAGTGTAGCTGGGGGCAAAAACACACCATAAATTTGCTTATTTTTTCTTTGTTAAGTAAGAAGCCAAATTTATTTGGTTCAATTTTCTATCGTAAAATGGACAAAAGCTAAATTAGTAAGAGTTTACGGTTTTGCCCAATCTTATTAATTTTACGATTTCGAGTCACAATCTTTTCATGATTCAGATCTCGATCTTACTTAAAAGAGATTATTGATATACACATCCAGATAATAAAGGATCAACATCCTATTATCTGGGAAGTGTTGATGGCATGTTACAATATCTTAGATTTTATATTTCCACACCTTTCATGATCCAATTATTTGGGAAGTGTGGATGACATGTTACAGTATCTTAGATTTTGTATTTCCACACCTTTCAAGATCCTATTATTTGGAAAGTGTGGATGACATGTTACAATATCTTAGATTTTGTTTTTCCACACCTTTCACTAACACTTTAAAAAATTTGATTCGCAACGTGACATCTTATAATTTGCTTATGGATAACACAATGGTAATTGACTTGGTTAACGGGAACATGTAGGAATAGGCATGAAGATGTGTCGCTACATTCGATATGGCGACCCTCATTTCTTTCACTTTCTTCTCCTCATCGTCATTTTCTCTTCTTCTTTTTCTTCTCACCTGATAGGGGAAGACTATTTCGTAATGGTGTATGGTGCGATATTATACTGCAGAGCATCCCGCTTCATTGATAAGAGTTCATGTTGCTCCTTCCAAAAAATTAAAATTAAAAAAAAAATTCTTTCAGCAGCAGTATAGAAGATTATGTGGTATTTGTGCCTCGAAGTGAAGGGTCCATTGCTTAGTGATTGAAATGGGGGGAGGATTGCTTATGGAGAAGATTTAAAGAAAGCATGAACATTTCAATTGATGTACTTGTCCCCTAATCACTGATGTGGGGGACGGACTGAATTTCTTGCTCTAGTCACTGTGTGTGCCACTCAGTCATCAACCTATCCTTGTTTTTTGTCTTATGTCTTGATTTCCATTCTTTATAATTTGAGATTCCTAGTTCTCAAAATGGTAAGACCACCAAAATTTCCCACTGACAAGAATTTTATATTGCACAGATAAACAAGCAGGGCCAAAAAACGAAAAAGATTCAAGATGTGGCACAGAATTCTTAGGGCACATCAATGAGAGTGAACTATGTCAAACTAGTGCTGACAGCTTGAAGTGTACAGGGCAAAGCTGTACCAGATTTCTTCAATAGGAACGGCTTCATCTGTCATGCAAGTTCATGTTCTTATCAATCGTACATCAGGTGGTCCAAAGTTCCTTCTGAGTTGTCAACTACAGAGAGTTTTAAGACAACCAGCTAACAAGGAATTTCAGAAGAAGTGCATCAAAATCAACTTAGACGGAGTGGATTTGCAAATGTGTACAGAACCAGAGGCTAAGCTTAATATTATCGGGTGCAACTACCAGGGAAAAAGTCATTTTGATGACGCCGTCAACTGATTAGCTTCGAGGAATAAGTCGGATTTCGTGATGTGTAATGTCTCATTATCAGGAAATTTTAAGTGAAATATGTATGTCCCCACATTGACGATAATAATTTTATATTTCTTGGATGTCGATATTTTAAATTGCCCATAAACTGAATCAATTGAGGATCGGAAGATTGCAATCTTGGGATTTTTTACGCAATGTCATTTTCACCAAGGCACGACTGAGAATGTTTTTAGATTTCGTCACTTGAGGTTAAAGTTGTTGACATTAGGGTTTGCGAATGGGCAGGAATTCCTTCCATCAAATCAAAACATTAGGTATTGACAACAATTATTTATACGCATCCCTCCAACCATTTCATGATATCCGAGCATAAAATATAAGGAAAACAGAAGAACTTGGGGGATACAAAGCCAACATCAAACTTCCTTCATTTTTCGTAAACTTGAATGATCAAACATTATACCAAAATGGAAATTGATTAAAACGGCACCCTTTGACAAAGCAAGGCAAGCACATTCTCGAGGAATCACATTGAGCATTCAAGCCGGGAAATATGTCTCCTCTAAACATCTCCATATAGAGTACTAAGTTCCTCCGGCAATGTCCGAGACACAAATTACAAGATCCGCTTCCATTACACAATTAAAGCATCATAGCTAACACATATACCTACTGCGACTTTCGAAAAATTAACTAGTCCCTTAGAATCACCACACCGTCACATGGATCAGACCTGTCGCGTAAAATGTTACTAATGATAGAAATCTTGTCCTTAAAGGATACATTCACCGCATCACCATCGCATAAGCATCGAAAACTATGCTCGAAAAGCAGTATGTCTTTGTCCAGGAGTGAGGATCCAAGTGCCAATCAAACCAAAGATATAACTTATATAAGCTCAGCATCTTTACACAAATACAATGTGAAGACAGCCTGTTTGAAAAGCTCATCAGGAAAACCCCCCATGGTCGCCAATAACTCAATTGCACATGAGAGAGGTCACTCGGATTTTCCAGTTAATGTAAGCGGGGGGATTCCCTGTCACAATAGCGACTACAAAATGATACCTACAATAGAAACGTTAATTTACAATGGAAGACTTGAGCTTCGCTAAGAATCGAAGAGAGAAAGAGGAGAAGGGTTAATAACAAAATCATTTCTCTATGCCTTGCTGTAGATACTGTATTAGGTCATAACCAGCAGTAGTCCACTTGTTGTATGCGTCCGTGCAAGTGCGGATCATGAAATTAGCTGCCTCACGCTCGCTCATTTCAGGATGAAATCTCTTCCGCAGATTGCCAATGGGATCGCCCCGGCTAAAACAAGGCAATCCACTGTCCACCATTAATAACACCGTGTTGATGATACCATCCATGTGACGACGAGCAGCAAGATAGCCCTTCACACACAATCTAAAAAGAACAAGACAAATGTCAACTTTTGATATGATGACTGATTGGCAAACAAGGGAATTCATTAAGCTAATTATAAATATTGTAAGCAGGAGGCGCCCTTGTAACTTAACCAAAGTCAAAAGGTATTGGACAGTAAAAGCTCCAATAATGAAAGATAATGACTAGCAATTTGTGTTTTCTCGCATCAAATTTGAAGTATAACATAACATTAGTCGACCTGAAAATGGCAAGTTCATTGATCACAATGCATCTTTGCAACCTACATCATTCAAGAACGGCCACAACAACAATAAACTAAGCCTTATCCAATTATACGGGGCCCGTGAATAACATGTTTAACACATTTTAAAAAGGAATTTTCATATGTGAAAGTGTTAAAACATGTTTGAATATGTTTAAAAGCATATAAACAGATACAAATGTTTGAATATTTGGTAAACAAAATATATCATTAAGTATCAATAGATGTTAAGCTGCTTAGTCAAACATGCTTAAATGTATTTAAGTAGGTTATGCAGATCAACTCACACACCAGAAAAAGCTAATTCTTCGCCTTCGCCTTTTATTGATTAGTTTACCAAAATTACGAGACAAAAGGCATTAAATCCAACTAGAATACACTTGACTATGTGCCAGGTTCGTGTCATTTGAACAAGTCGAGTCCCTAATTGCCAGCCTATAAAAGATACCATGGTTGACTCTATTAAATCTAGGTTACCTCACGAAGCGATTCCAAGTCTCACTCTTCATGACTCCGGAAGGGTCAAGCAGTTGAGTCATTTCATGACTCAGCTTGAAGTGTGCACTTTCAAACCGCATATTTCCACCGGGTGACGTTTCTAGGATGAAACCAAAATCGATATGCACAAGCCGTCCCATGCTGCATTAATCATATTGTTAGGGCTCCTTGATTTTTCTACAGAACTTTTCAGCAATATAAAAGAAGTTTTACTTGAGTGAATAGTATCGCCAGTCAACAGAAAATGAAACCTCTCCCCATGAAAAACCAGATGCACTATTTTATCCTTAATACTATATGACCAAAGTGGTGCTCAAAAGGCATGTCCGACGATATTTTCCTATGTTTCTAAACAGAAGTAAGCCTGATGACATTGCTAACTAAGCACAAGTAAATGTATATACAGGAGAGCAAAAGAGGTGGGAGAGACAGAG